AGGCCATTCAACCAGCGGGTTGTTGACCCCTCTAGAAAGGAGGCAGCCACTACAACTTCTTGCTCAGGTCTGGTAAGCTTGTGCCTCACATAAGTAGGCACCGTCCTTACCCAGGTATCCAAATCCTCATCCTTCTTCCTGTCGCCGGAGAAGGGCTTAGGACTCAGCAACGGTAATTTGGGCATCCACTGCATAGGCTGCATGGGCCCAGGGGCTTGTTGCAGTTGCTGCATAGCCACCGAAACAGGTTGCTGCACACTAACCTGGGCCTGACTTGACAGTGGGACTGTAGTAACCACGGTCGTCGATGGTACGGCTGAGACTCTATGATCCGGACCACTAGTTGCTACATAACCACCTGGAGGGGGCATGCCAAACATAGGTGAGAATGGAGGCCCTATCGGCGGCAACGTCACTGATGGACCCGCACCCGAAGGGGGAGCTACAGCATACCGAGGCTGCCTCATCATGGGACGAGGAGCCTGCAATGCAGCCAGAATCTGCTTCTGGCGGCCTGCCATTAGTTCAGCCAGCACTTCCTGCTGGACACCTGCGTTTCTGCCACACAAAGAAGCGAGCTACGCAACGCTCGTATCGTAGGGTCAAGTGCTGACTCATCTAATGCTTCTAATCTGCCTAGCTCCTCTCTCCTACTACCTAGTCTAGCTTTCCTCATGATTGTTTTTCTTCTCCTCTCTGCTGCCTCATCTAATGCCACTGTAGCTCATCCTGAAGTTCTTCCGCTTGGAGGATTTCATAATCCTCCGACGTGAGTTGAGTCTGTTGGCTGACTCGCAAGCCAGCACTCTGGCTAGTGGACCCCTGAGAACCACTCTGACCAACTCCTGAGGAAGTGGCCTGTGAAGAAGCCTGCGACATGGAAGAGGAAGTAGCCATGGTTGTACCGGTACTAGCTATAGTTCTAGACTTGGCGCTATCCTCAGCCACCCTCACTCTTCTTGGCGCTGCTCTCTCTCTAGCCTCTCTCCGCAGTCTCCTCTCGTCTCCTGGACCTAGCTCTAGGAAAGTCAAAGGTCGACTACGAGCTGTTCCACGAGTAGTCCTACGGTCGTCCACTAACAACTCCTCACTAGTGCTTGCATCACTCATGAGCTACAGTGTGTGTGATCTAAACTAGAATCCACACTGAATCCTACCTTAGCCTGACACACAACCGAGTACAAATAACAACTAATTTCGGTCGGCCTGAACAGAAACAGTTAGGTGATGTAGTAACAACTAATGTCAGATCCTACAGGAAATATCACATCTATTTTTAGATTACTCTAGAACAGATTGCAATGCAGCAAAGAACTAATCTGTCTGCAGTTGTCTGTCGGTTGTTAGTCAAGTCTGTAACAACTAAATAATCAAAAATAAAAATAATATCTCCTGTTGGAGATGTACACTGGATGGCAGATTGTCTATTGTTTGCCACTGTGAACAGATACCAGAATCCCCCCCTCCCCCTGTATCCTTCTTGAGTTGTCACTTTGTGTCAACGTCCTGAGCATCTGGTTGAGCACCGTGTCTAAAGGTGTGCAATCCGGCCCACCCCTATGCCCCAAGTCAACGCCGAACCTGCCAGCCCCTGCACATTATTTACCCTCGCATGCAACGAGCCTTGCACCCGGTTTGATCTGGCTGATCAGGAGGCATTTAAGGAGATCCCCCGTAACTCCTCAGGAATTATTTAACGTCACAGACAAGACGACAATCACAGCCAGAGTCAACACTGAGTCCCTGCCAAAAATATTTAGAGACGGTCTGGTAAGCGTCTGTTCAAAGGGCTGGCATGCCCTGCATGACCTCTATTGCGCAAGCAGCAGAACCAAGGACTTGCGGCAAAGCATGCGTGTACTAGTCCCATCGGGTTGGCATGGTGACCGTGACCCGAGTGCTTCATCCAGGGCCCTTCAGAGGCTTCGCCTGTCTCCCACCAGCTTGCTGCCCAGGAAGAATGTCGACTCTCAAGGTTGAGCGCTCACGGCAGCTCACATCGAGAGGGCTCTCGAGACAAAACTCACTTCCTCGCGGTAAGAAGTAATGAAGAGGGTAGATAAGGAAGAGAGCAACATACCTTATAATGCTGCCCCCAACCACAGATTTCTCACCAGCAACCTGATGTGCATTTATGATGACCGGTCTTTGCCTTGGCACAACCAACAATAGAATGCAGTTCCACCTCAGCTTAAATGCCACATCAGCGAGCTCTCATCATCCAGCATACATCCCTAATGTCACCACATAGCTTCCTGGCGCGCCCACACGACCCTGGGCCGCCCTAGTTCAACGCCCAAGCCTTATCACTGCCCCACACCTCATGCGAAGCACTGAACAGCTATTGCGAAGAGAACCAACGAAGCGCAATATGAACCAGCTCTGATACCAAATTGCAAGGAAAATGAGCAACAGCGAGATGACAAATCCAGATTACACAATCACATTGAAAGCCAAATAGTCACACCGTGTCCAGAGAGCAGCATTGCACCAATAATACACCAATGGACGTTCGTAGTACTGAAAACCAATGTCATGGAGAGTTTTCTCTGTCCACACCAACACAAGAGTCCAGTCCCTTCACTCTCCTACTTGGCGCTCAGCGCCAAGCCTACTCCTACACAGCTATTATCAGCCTACTAATTGACAATGCAACTGTTGACATCAGCGGCAACCCGACGTACTTGAAGATGTCGCCCAATGCAGACTGTCGCCAATACAAGGTATGTGCCCTTACATCATCATCATCATCAT